CCCCAAAACCCCAAAACCCCAAAACCCCAAAACCCCTTTTATGGAATAAATAAAGGTTTTTACCACTAATATAGTCGAATAGCTTAGTTAGATGAAGCACTGAGTGGCCATCAGAAGGCCTCCCTCTCTCTTGATCTTCTGTGCAGTCAACCGAGGCTGAGGAGAAAATAGGCGACAGCCTGTTGTCTTTATATTCCTCCGTTTCTTACCCGTAGGAACACAAGAGGGGTGGCCTGTATTCTGCTTCAAGGCCTGAGAAACATGTCTAACCTTATGACTAGTCTTTTTGAAAATTTCTTTATTTCATACTTTCATTGGTAAATTGTGAGAATTTAGGCCCACCGCGTTCTGGCTATGTTTCTAAAATTTTAGAAAATTTTTCACTTACTTTAAAACTAGTGCCAGAGGCCATTTCAATGATCGGTCTATTACGAGTTCGATCCAGCCTTGTTGTCTCTCTAAAATAGTCAAACCTGGGTGTACCTATGACTAAGTTTGGAGGCTACCTGATTGGCATTCTGAGGACTTGACTTATCTATAACCCATTTTAGTATTAATTTATCGATTATGTTAAGCAAGTTTCAGAATCTTTGTAAATATCAAAAAGTGAAAGCAGAAAGTGTACCTGTCTGCCTTAAACATTGGTTGGGGTACCCCTCTTTGAAGCAGATAGTAGGGGTACTATACTTGAAGAAATTCTTCCTGGCTGAGCTTAGTTTGGTTTTACTTCTTTCACCATGAGGCTGGCAAGGAGTAGTATCTTTAGTATCAATAAGCCGGTTAGTACTAACCCTACCATTTTGAAGTGGCTTATATAGGAAAATCTTTTTGTTACTCTGATGTTTCCGAAACACTTGGTGCTCCCCCTTGAGAAGTTCCAGTAGCAAAGCCTGGTTTACCACTCGCTTCTTGTGTGAAGGTACTGAAGAGTCAAAGGACGATCAGCTTGACTCTAATAGTTCTTGATCATTCTCCATAACGGAGCCTATGAAGAGGGTAAGCAGGATGAAAATTTATCTAGATGCTTACAGATTGGCTTCAAATCATCCCCGATTTCAGATTTCTGGGCATGACTCATCTTAGATTCTCTTGAGTAGGAATTCTTCAACCCATTTTTCGCTTGAATCCCCCTCACTGGATCTTTGTGATTCGAGAAATTTAGCGATTTGCTTCTGGTGAAGAGCCTTACGATTCTAAATAATTTGTTAGGAAAGCTGAGGCGGAAGCTCTCCATTTGGAAATTTTAGGAGGAATGCTTCCATGAATTGTTGAGAAATAACAGGTGCCAAAATATCACCAATCAGGATTGACTTTGTGTTTAAAGCTATGCATAAAAACTGGGTTTCAGAAATTTCCAAATATTCTAAATTTGTAGAATATGAAAGATTTCATTACAAAGAAGCATTCACTTGTAACCGTATGGAGGAACTTACTCAGCCTTATGAGTCGTATCATTCTTTTTCTGCTCAGCTTTCTCCCTCAGTTTATCCTGCGATTCCCTGATTCCTTCCAAAACAGTTGAGATAATAGACTTCCTTGGTGCAGTGCTGTTCTTATACTCATTAATTTTTCATACAAAAATGGGAGAAGTTTTATACCGATGGGACTTTGTCACTCTCTTTGGAGGAGCTAGCATCCTTCTGCTAGGCTTAGCATTCGGGTTGTCAACCTGGGACCCCATAAATTTTACTCGTTTCTTCTGAAGAGGCAATTTCTTTGTATTATTCATCCTTAATGCATGGTCGATAGTTTTGTATAACTTATCATTTATAGTACTCAGAGTATTCCTCAATGAGTACTTATCCTGGTTGAGGATCATTCCTGATATCTATAAGCAGATGAAGCTTTAGATAGTAAGGAAGCCTACCTTTTTCCACTTGTATCATGAGTCTAATTGTACATGTCCCTGAGTCTCCTTTTCGTTAAAATTCATAAACTTTGTAACAACTTTAGCGCTGTTATAAGGGGTTATGAAGTAGTCTATTTTCTTCTGTGTTTCATTATCTGGGAGAGGGTTAAAATTCAGGTGCATCTCAGCCTCACTCTTAGTGGTCATTTTCATTTGGCTTTGAGCAATACTATGAATCTCTCCTGAGATATCAGACCCTATACAATTGTGATAAGTGATTACCATTGGTGCTATTTCTGACTTTTACCAATAATCCCTATGATTGAGGAGGTTGTGTTCCCAGTAAGAGTGACTTTAGAGCTTGACCTATGGATTTATCTCAAAATGTCTACTTTCTACTAAAACCTTGTGGTGAGCTTTTGCTCTTCTCCTTTCTCATAGGTGTTGGAGTCTTCAGAAATTTTTGACTAGTTTTCATTTTCATGAATATATTACAATTTTATTATGTTGCAACTCAAATATGCAAATTTGGGGTTTTGGGGTTTTGGGGTTTTGGGGTTTTGGGG